CATCTGGGTTGCTTCCATATCTTAGCTATGGTAAATAATGCTCCAATAAACACAGTTGTGCTGGTAGCTTTAGTATGGTCTTGTTTGTGATCATTTGGGTAAATGCCCCAAAGTAGGATCGTTGGGTCATAAGGGAGTTCTATGTAGAGTCTTTTGGGGAATCTCCACACTATTATCCAAAGTGGTTGAACAAGTTTACACTCCCACCAACTATGCAGTAGGGTTCCCTTCTGTCCACATCCCCTCCAGCATCTGTTGTTACCAGAGTTCTTGATTATAGCCATTCTAACTGGGGTGAGGTGGTATCTCAATGTTGTTTTGATTTACATTTCTTTTATGGCTAGAGAGGTTGAACATTTCTTCATGTGTGTATTGGCCATCCTTCTTTCCTTTTCAGAGAAGTTTCTCTTTAAGTCTTTAGCCCACTTATTTATTGGGAAGTTGTTTCTTTGAGGATTTGTTGTTGGGGGATTTAATTTTTTGAGTTCCAGGTATATTTTAGTTATGAGACCGTTGTCCATTGTGTGGCTAGTGAAGATCTTCTCCCAATCCGTGGGCTTTCTGTTGATCTTGCTACCTATGTCTTTTGCCATGCAGAAACTCTGCAACTTCATGCAATCCCATTTGTCCAACCATTCTTTGATTTGTTGTGTTTCTGGGTCTCTATTAAGAAAATTTTAGCCTGTGCCAAGGAGACCTAGGGTTTCTCCTATTCCGTCCTGTAATGTTTTCAAGGTGTCTGCTTTGACTCTGAGGTCTTTGATACATTTGGAGTTGATTCCAGTACAGGGTGAGATATGGGAATCTAGCTTTAGTTTTCTACAAGTGATTAACCAATTTTGCCAGCACCATTTACTGAAGAGACTGTCTTTCTTCCATTCTATTTTTTTAGCTCCCTTATCGAAGATTAGATGGCTATAGGTCTGTGGGTTCATTTCTGGGTTTTCAATTCTATTCCATTGGTCTTGAGGTCTGTTCTTGTGCCAGTACCAAGCTGTTTTGATTACTAAAGGTCAGATAAGATGATGTTAGGCAAAATGAACCCCAAGATAAGGACACAAGTGGTTTTTTCTTTCTTGGTATTGTTTCTAACATATTTATAAGGTGATTGTTTTGTTGTTTTGTATGTCCCTTCCCCACGGTATAACCCCTGTTTTCACTGTATTTGATGTTGGTATAATTTGGGAAGGAGAAAGAAAAAACAAATTGTTTAAATAGGGATACAGGTGGACCCATTGCAACAATGAGATGTACAAAATGCTATGTTGAAAAACGAACTTTACAACTTTGGCAGGGGGCGGGGGAGCAGGGGATAGTGTAGTTGTGGAGGTGGGAGGGAAGGGATAGTAGGGGAAAGCAAAGGAGGAGGCAACAATGCTTGACAAGAAATGTACTTATTACCTTGCTCATGTAATTGTAACCCCTCTGTACAGTATTTTCAAAATAAAAAACTTATTAAAAATAAAAAAGAAATTTTAGTGAGAAAAATAATTTATGGAAATACAAGAGGGAAGCTATATCTACTATGAGATATTTTTAACGGAAGACATGATATCACTGTTTTAATTAAAACAGCAACAAAATAGCAAAAAAAAAAAAAAATGAACCCATGATCTCTGCCTCCCAAGTACCTAGGACTACAAGTTTGAGCCACTGTGTCTAACTTTTTAAATCATATGATTTTTTAAACATTCAATATTTCTTAGACACATATTCCAATTCCTTATTTGTGTGAAATCTGTTTAAATGCTTGCAAATCAGAGTTGAGGAAGAGCTTAGTGTATACACACACACACACACACACACACATGTACACGCACACACACTACATATATAGTCTCTCTCTCTCTCTCTATCTATCTATCTATCTATATATATAGTCAGTCAGTCAGTCAGTCAGTCATGGAGCTTGAACCCAGGGCCTGCATGCTGTCCTTGAGCTATTTTGCACTTTGCCATTTGAGCCACAGCTCCACTTCCAGTTTTCTGGTGGTTAAATGGTGATAAGAGTCCCAGGGAACCTTCCTGGCTGGCTTCAAATCTCAGTCCTCAGATCTTAGCCTCATGAGTAGCTAGGATTACAGATGTGAACCCCCAGTGCCCAGCAACATTTATATTTTTAATTCATCTTTCCATGTTGAGTTCAGAGCTCACACATGGCCTTAACTATACCTCATACCTTATACCATAGCTTTCCTGGTTCTCTTTTTCCATAGATTAAACCTTTCCTACTTTTTCTTGGGTGGTTTGAGGAAGCTGATCTAAGGACTTATTTGTTTCTTAATCAAGCCCAAACCCTGCAGCCCTCCCCTACTCCTCCCCCACTCCTAAAATCAGAAGTGACAGCAGTGTCTTAGAGTGCATTTGATTGTATAACTTGCTGACTCCTGTGTTCCCTCTACCATCTCCAGGTAGTCTTGTTGCCTTTCCCATCTTGTTTATTCAGTCCTGTCTGCCCTAGTTCTGCCTGCCCTGTCTTATTATCATATGTCATGTGGCCTCTGGTTATGTTCTATATCCTTTTTTTGTGTATACTTTTCTTTGTTGCCTTGTATTTGTCTAGATTGAGTTTTTAGAAGAAGGCAAATGTTAACCCTTTCTTCCCTTATTAATAGGAAATGAATAACTTTGAGGAGTCAATATAACTCTTCTAAGTCATTTTAGAAAAACAAACTCAAACCTATCTCTTCTTTGTGTTATTTTGGAATACTAATCTTCTGAGCAAGTGAAGTAGGTATTCTGTATGAAGTAGAATCAGGATCTCTGATAGTGAGGAACTTGTTAGTCTTTTGGCCCAAACTGTCTATACAGCTGTCTCTCGAGGGAAGGGATGTTATGAGCGATGGCAATGTTCATTAAACTGCATTGAGCACTCACTGTGTTTGCAGATTGTATGATGGGCTTCATAGGCATGATCTCAATTCTCACAATACTTGAAGTACATCTAATCATTGTTTCCATTTTGTAGGTGACAAAACAAAAGTCTGGAGATATTTAGTACTTGTTCACAGTTAGAAAGTGGGGGAGCTGGTCTTCAAAGCCCAGTCACTTAGCCATGCCATGGCATCCAACCTAGTCTGATGGGCTTTGTCTTCACCCCTAGCACCTGGAGCCACCATCGTAGGCTGTAGTCTGAGGGCTGCGTCCTGCTTGTGACAAAACTATGGTGGAATAGAGTAAAACACAAAAGCAATCCATGTCTCTAATCCTCAGGCAACGCAAGCTCCCAGACACTCCACCCTATTCTTCATCAGACCCATGCTCTCCTCCCCGGGCCAAAGGTGAGTGTCTTCTACCCTCTGGATATCCTGCACTATCATTCTCCTTGGCCCCTGCAAGGTGAGAAAGTGGCGCTTCTCACTTGTGTCTTTCCCAGGTGCATGCTGCCAGACCCTGAAGCCGATTGCTGGGAAGTCTCCAGCTGCCTTTCTCCACTCCAAGGCCGTGCCGGGGCCACTGCCAGCCCATCCACTGCAGAGCATGTCTTTAATGAGCAACTCTGGCCAAACCCACAGCAGCTTTCACGACTGCTACCCAGACACCAGTCATCCTCTGCACCAAACTGTGCCTTCCCATCTGGGGATAAGTTGTTCTTTCCACCCGCAGCCTCTGTGTCACATTCCTGGGTAAAGGGCAAGATATTTAGTTATAAAAGACCTGGGCAAAAAAGTCTCAGAGCCAATGAGACGGACTAAGCCTGTCCAGGAGATGGCGGTGTTGAGACGTATATAGGACACATATTCTTGGTTTAGACAATATTAATTAAAAATCCACTAATTTCAAGATTTCCATTCAACCAAAAGCTAAAATGTCAGGAATACATAGGAACTTCCAGCAATGGAAGGGAGCAGTGTTTGATGAGGAGCCTTAACCAAACTACTGAGGGAATTAATTTGTGAATTAATTAAGGAGAGATCAAGTGTCTTTTCTTCTTTCCTCTTTTTCTTCCTCCTCAGGATTAGAAAATAAAGACCACTAAAACGATGTAGTCAAGCACTGGTGGTTCACGCCTGTAATCCTAGCTATTCAGTAGGCTGAGATCTGAGGATCAAGGATCAAGGCTAACTCTACATAGAAAAGTTCATGAGATTCTTATCTTCAGTTAGCCAGCAAAAAGCCAGAAGTGGAGGTGTGGCTCAAATGATAGAATGCCAGCTTTGAGTGAAAAAGACAAACAGGAGTGAAAGGCTGTGAGTTCCAGTCTCAATATAGGAATGCACACAGAGACACAGAGTAAAACCTGTATTTTACATTGATATCTTTGTTTCAATAAACCCTCTGCCTTTAAAAGGTTACCAGGAAGGTAAAAGGTTTTCAGGAAGGTAAATCTCATATTCATTGGAAAAAGAATACTGTATTCCAGAATTTTAGGGGTCAGGGAACCTTAACTAATTGAGGTTAGACTCAGGGAAATTGAGAACAGACATCTGGAAAATTAAACTGGATTTAATGGACTGGAGAGAAGGGAACCCTAATGCTCCTTTTGATTTCTTGACTGTAGAGCCTCATTGCCTCCATCAAAGAAGAGGAAGCACACGCAGACCCTGGAGGAATCTGAGGACTGCCAAGTGTGGGCCCACCACTCTAGATCAAGTGAGCAAACCTGGGCTATGGCAAAGCCGGGGTCCTTGAGACCTTGGCCATTCGTTGGCTTTTGAGCAGCACTACAAAACTGTATTCTCTGTCACAGAAGAGCAACGGTAGGTTTGGGGAGTTTATTTTCCCTTTTGACATGTCTAGCATACAGGTGAGTCACACAGGTGGGACACATAGGTGCTCTAGGGAAGGGATGCACTTCTGCCTTAGTGGTAAGCTTTCACTTCAGGAGCAGTATGTCCCAGAGGATGCAAGTGGTCCAGTGCTCTCAAGAGCCTTCAAGTACTCGCTGCTTTCTTTGGTCACTGCAATCCTCCTTAACCTTTTTTTTTTAATGCATTTTTCTTTATTGTTATTGTTGACATGATATACAATGGGGAGGGATGGCAGTTGGCAGTTACATAAGTTAGATAAAGTATATATTTTAAAATTGTTATTGTATATGTGATGTGCAGAGGGGCTAGGTACATAAGTCAAGAGTACCATTCTTTTTCCCCCTCATTTTCTCTCTTTTCCTCCCTACCCAATCCTCCTTAACCTTAATGCACGATTAATTAAAGTGGTCTTGGTGAAGAGTAGATTCTGACTTCATAAATGTGAACTGGTATTTTAAACAAGCTCCCAGGTGAGGCCTGATGCATGAAAGATGCTTTGAGAAGCAAGACTTTAGAGGATTTTTTCCAGAGGAAAGAAGGTGGAAAGTTGAGCTTTTCCTCAACTCATTGCCAATTGGCAGGATTCCAGTAGACCTTTGAAATTTTATAAAATCATTTTAGAAGTCTTTTTCAGAAACATCTGATACCCAAGTGAATGGCCTACCTAGTTTTCTGTCTTATATAACGTGCAATGCATCATCTCCCTGCACCCCAACCCCAACCCCACCCCCGCCCCAGCCAATGAACTGAAAGCCTTTATTCTGGAACATGAAGGGCTACACCTTAACACCTTCCCACCAACTTTTATATTTTCATTATTGAAATTCTTCTGTAGTCTCACTCAATATATCTTTTGAATTTAATGATCTGATCAATTTGGGAACCAACTGTTCTTTTGGAATCTGAAGATATGAACTTTCAAATTTTCCATAGCCCAAATGCCATAGCCTTTCCTGGGAAAAAAGACTGGAGGCTGGTTCAACCAGCCTAGAAATATTCGTTTAGACAGTGTGAACAATGCTCACAAATCAGGGCATCAAGTCCCATCTCTCCTGTCTCCCTCAGCTGGGCAAGAACACAAGGATTTCCTCTGGGGCTTCTCCCTCCCAGTCCCATTCCCAAGCTCTAGAGGGTTACACAGCTCTTGAGGAGATGCACAGGACTTTCTCACCAACACAATTGCTGTCTTTACCTTTAACAGCCCTGTGGGATGTCACATTCTGGGAGATCAGGCTTCAGCTCCAGCCAGGGCTGGATAGACAATGAAGTCCCCCTCACAGCCAAGTTGCCCATGGCACCATCCCCTGGGAGAGCTCTGTTAGAATTGTGTTGGGCACCCAGCCTTACATAAACAGTCTCTACTTCCTCCTTTCCTTTCTCACAGATTCATGATGACCACAAGTCCACTTTCTTTCTTCTTCCAAAGCTAAATACACACAATATTAATTAAAGCATTACTTGGCTGTCCAAAGCAATGCTATCCAAATACTTTTTGTGGGGGATAACATGAAGTTTGTCATCCACCTTACCCTAGTTTCTCTAGGTATCTTTGCATCCAGCCTGTGGTTAAAACATAAAGGCTGAACTAATTCCTAGCCAGCTGTGGGAACCATCTGCTCTTTCCTCCCACAGATGCCCTAGCCGCTTAGGGGATACAGGGCCAAGGCACTCAAACCTTCCAAGCATTTTCTCAATGGATCAGATTGTTGCCTAACTTTTCCAGAGTTAAGCTGCATCTATGATAGATTTCTGTTGCTTGTTCCAGACAGGTTATTGATTTTTCTCCCACCACCTTTAAAGAAAGTTCTGGTAGAATGACCGAGATGCCCTAACAGATAGGAACTCAAAGAAACCTTGTTTAAGTTCTATTTAAAGGTCACTGAAAAACTGAAGATTTTTGGTTCCAGACAATTCTTAAGAATGAAAACTATCACATTCTCAGGGCATAAACAGAAAAATTAAACAAAAACAGCAACAAAACCCCCTAAAACCAAAACAAAACAAAAACAATAGCAAAGAGTGAATCCAAATGCCACATTTTCATAATAATTTTAGCACATGTTTTCTGGTGGAGATCCCTTATTTAATGTTTCAGAGACCAGGGGAAAGACTACAATTGGAGGAAGATAGAGGGGCTCACATCAGTCTCCCAGACAGAAATAGGATTGCCAATTTCTTATGGGAGATTCCACATTTGTTAATGACATTTAAAATCTTTGCTTCTATCCAAGTGCTGTTGGCTCACACAAGTAATCCTAGCTAGTCAGGAGACTGAGATCTGATGATCATGTTTGGAAGCCACTCCTGGCAGAAAAGTCTCTTAAGACTCTTATCTCCAATTTACTAACAAAAAGTGGTATGTCTAAAGTGGTAGAGTACCAGCTTTTAGTAAAAAAAAAAAAAAGCACAAGGCCCTGAGTTCAAGTCCCAATAACCCCTCTCCCCCACAGCATACACACAGAGAACCCCTATCTCCTAACTACGTTACGAAGGTTGAGAAGCATCACTGAGCATATCGTACTACCTAATGAGTCTATATCTAGGAAGAGGTCTTCCTAGACCTTCTCTCAATAGTATGAGAGAGGGAAAAAAAGAAGAATGAGTCTCTTCCTTTCTGAGAATTTGATGGAAGCAGAGCCATGACCAGGTATTGTTCTTGTTTTTGCTTTTGAGAAGATTTTTACACCAGGGAGCTTTTATTGTCCATCTTTTGTGTTTTTACACAGGAAGAAGCCTTTCAGGAGTTATATCTACACAAAGAAACAAAAAAATACATTTTTGCTTATGTGATATTTAATTCCTATATTCAAAAAAAGATGCATGTTTTCTGTGACATTCATCATTGAAAGCAACTTGAAGCATCCCTGTTCATTTATACTATGAAACACACAGTGAGAGTAGAAAGAAAGAAGAGTTGAAATAGTAAAAGAAAACCCAGCCCTTTGCTCCCATTTCCCTTATGTAGCTTGGTAGCATATATTGGGGCTGATTGTGGTGTTATTGATGGCAGCCTGCACCTGGTCTTACCACCAACCCACCATTTCCTTCTCACTTTCACCCCAGCCATGAGTGATGGTAAGGAGTTAGAAGAAAGGGGAACAACAATGACCACAATAGCATTTTACATAACATTACGTAAATTATGAATGGCTTGGGAGGCATACTCAAATTGAGATTGAGAGCTTAACTGGGTTTATGCAAAGATAATGATTGTCCCTGTGAAGTTGCTGTTACTGGATTATTTTTGGCATGTGGAAGTGGCAGTTTCATATAGTTGATTTTACAGACCAACAAGAGCTTCTCTGTGTTACTTTGTCTTGGTTTTAAGTTTGGAAAGTGCTTTCACTTCTATCTTATTCTCTGCTGTGACATGTAGCAAGGCAGACTGAGGACATGTTTTTATTTCTAGTTTGTACCTGAGCTTTGTAAGATTGTATATAATGCATCTGAAATCAGAAACCTAAGTGGGAGCAACAGATTCTTGGTACCACAAAGATCTGTGGTACCAAGAATTAGGATATATTGGCTGCATTACTAAAACAAAAATGCATAGATTCTTTTTGTTTTTGGGTCCGGTCATGGGCCTGAACTCTGGGCCTGGGTGCTGTCCCTCAGCTCTTCACCTTAAGGCTATCACTCTACCACTTGAGCCACAGTACCACTTCCGGCTTTTTTTTTCTGCTTATGTGGTGCTGGAATCGAACCCAGGGCCTCATGCATGCAAGGCAACCATTCTACCACTGAGCCACCTTCCCAGCCCCAAAATGCATAGATTCTTAAAAAAAAAAAAAAAAAAACAAAGAAAACCTAACTAAACTAATAAAACAAAACACCCTCTGGTATATAAAAACTCAGAAAAGCTACTGACTCTTATAATCCAAGGGTTTAAGATTAGGCCTATAATTCAAATCTTATCAGGACCTGGAAGTCCCTTTGTTAATTTTTTGTTGTTGTTGTTGTTGTACTGGCTTCATTCCTAGATGGGCTGTTCCCACTGTACCAAAATGGTGCCAGCAGCTCTTGGGAATTTGTTTCCCAGGTTCAAATCTCATGAAAAAGAGGGATCATCTTGGAACCTACATTCCCTGAAATGATAAGATCGACTCTGCTTATTGAATGAAGCCACTTGGGCCATTCCTGATGCAAATACTGAATACTATTTTTTGATTCATTGTACCGTGGGCCACCTACCCTCCTTAGGTCAGATAGAGACTTCCCTGGAACCACACAGACTGGAAATGAAGAGAAATTCTTCAGGAAGTCTCGAGGATGAAATACCCCCCTCCCACTCCCCACCCCCCCACGCCCTGCAAGTGTCTACCATCTCCCTCTTAGAGATTCACTGAGCCAAGCTGTTCTTACAGATGTTGTCAGAAACCAGCTGTACTTCTTTCTCTCAGTGCTCAGCAGCTCCCACCTCACCCCTAGCCTGCTTAGTCGCTCTGCATATCTGTCTGTGAGTCTAGGAAGACAGTATGGTAGGGGGATTCTAACCCACCTGTTTCTTTCCAGTGACAAGTAGGAACCACAGTAGTGATGTACAGACCCATGACAGCGAGGGACAGAACGGGGTGCGCGTGGACCAGTGCTTTCCTGCTCTGAAGTGGTGGCCATACCAAAGTGTTCCTTGGCATAGCTTATTTGACAGTCGTTATGAAAAACTGTAAGAGGCTTTAGCAATGTGCTTTGGGGTGGGCCGTGGGCATTAAGGTGGAGACTGGGGAGAAGCACCGAATCTCAGAACCAAATTCTAGTATTTGTCACCACAGATCAGATGGGATGATCAAGGGGAAAGTCTGTCTTACACCTTATGTGTTATATACTAATAAATAAATGATCAGGATATGAATTTCTGGCTGTTACCAACCTGACTTATTAATCTAGCTCACTATAATTTACCTACCAAATGCTAGAAAAGGGAGAAATCTTCCTGGGATCACATGCCTAGTTTAAAGTAAAGCTTGGAAAAGAGAGCTTGCCCAAATCACTAATATTTAATCTTGCTATTAATTTACTTTATCACAGAACATTTTTGGAGAACCATGATACCTTGTTAGCCATTGACCATCCTTAACATTTGTGCTACAAATCAGTACTATCAAGTTCATTGTCAACATATTCTGCAAATGTTGATTATTTAACCTCAGTCATAGTAGGTGGTTTCATTATATTAACTCATACAGACTATATAAAATAAAATGATAGAAATTATCCTAATGCTGGGAAAGTTTCACCCTATTTTAGGACATTATAGTTATAAAAAAATAGATGTGGTGCTAGCTACTCAGGAGGCTAAGATCTAAGAATCATAGTTTGAAGCCAGTCCAAGCAAGAAAGTCTGTGAGACTCTCATCTCCAATTAACCACCAAAAAGCTAGAAGTAGAGGTGTGGCTTGAGTGGTAGAGCACCAGTCTTGACTGAAATAGCTAAGGTGCACAGGCCCTGATTTTATGTCCTAATATTGCTGTGTGTGGGCATGCGTGCGTGCACACACACACACACACACACACACACACACGCAAATGTGGATTCATGAATTATTAACCTTAAGTCATCTATTTATTCTTTAGCTTTTGATTTACTTTCTTAAGGCTTCTACAGTTTTGCTAGGTTAAAAATGCTTTCTTGAGTTATCACAAAATATTAGTAAATAATAAGCTTATCCCTAGGACTTACGTTAGGTGGGCTAGAAGGAAGAAATAGGTTCCTTAGAGTCTAGTGAGTTGATGTAGGAGGCACAATATAAAATTACCATTTTTTGCAGCCAGAAAACCTTTTTTAAACAGCTAATTAACGATCATAAAAATCAATTGAAGGAAGTGGTGCTGTAGCTCAAGTGGTAGAGCACTCGCCTTAAGCTGAAGAGCTGAGGGACAATGCTGAGGCCCAGAGTTTAAGCCCCATGACCAACAGCAACAACAACAAAAATTTGGTAAAAATCAATTGAATAAGAAAGAGAAAATAAAATGTGAAAGTCCTGGGTCTTAGTTTTAGTCATGGCTTTCATTTGATTGTCATTCAGGGCTGAATTTCTTGATTACCAAGATATGAAAATATTACAACCAGTCTTATGTTTTAGTTAAACCTTTAATGCTTTTCTGTCACTATGTTTCTGACTTAGTTGTTTTTATTTGGAAGTAAGAGTCATCTCTCTTCTAATTTGAAGATTTTTTTTTCTTTTCTTTTCTTTTTTTTTTTTTTGGTTAGTCTGTGGCTTGAACTCTGGGCCTGGGCACTGTCCCTGAGCAATTAAGCTCAAGGCTAGTGCTCTACCACTTGAGCCAGAGTGCCATGTCTGTTTTTCTAGTGGTTTATTGGAGCTAAGAGTCTCATGGAATTTCTTGCTCAAGCTGGCTTTGAACCGTGATCCTCAGCTTCCTGAGTAGCTAGGATTACAGGCATGAGCCACCGGTGCCCAGCTGAGGAGATTTTTTTTTAAAACTTACTTTAATAGTCTATCTTTGCTCCATTGATCTAGAAAAAAAGGGCCAGAACACAGGTTATAGAAGCAGACTTATTTAGAATATTTTAGCTATAATTTGCTTTTCATAAGCTAAAAAGGACGGCAGTATTCACCCAGATGATAAATCAGGGACTCCTGATTTCATTATTCATGTCACTGAGATAGAAAAATCACTTACTTCTTCATAGATAATTACCTTTAATTTGTTCAAAAGGTTGTTTACCTGGATTACCTAAAAGCGATGAAGTTAGGGATTACAATTTTATGAAATATCTTTGGGAATGATGCTTAAATTTGTGTTTCAAAAGAACTCCTAAAAGCCAATTTAGTTTACTTTATGCTTAATTTTTTATGTTCAGAGTAGAAGTGACTTTCTTGAATAAACAGGTTTCTGTGATCAGAGATTGGCATTTAAAGCTCAGCATAATCTTCAGTATAATTTTTGTTGATTGATTCAGCTTTGGCATCTAGCTGTTGCTCAGTTTCAGGCAAGAGCTCATATCTGAACTGTAAGCCTTACATTTTCATTTACTTTTGAGTACTGATGATGAAGCATCAAACATGGCAGAAAATATCCTTTTTACTTTTCTCAATCAGGACATTTCTTATCACTCCTCATGGATACAATTCTATTCATCTCTAGCCAGTTAGTAGGTTAATTGTAGAAATCTAAGTCAATGTACACGTTTCCAGATGGCATAAGACATGTAGTCTTTACCAAATTCCCTGCTCAATGAATTTTTCTTTTGCTGCTGGTGAGCATGCTACTAGTGATTGCATTTGATTGATCAGCCACTTGAAGGTAATCAATGGCCCAATGTTTTGATCAATTGGAGGAGTGCTTACCTTGCAAAGAACATGGACACTCTTTCCCAAGAGACCCATTAATACTTTCTATTTCTGGAAGTAGAGCCACATTAAGAAACTCTGTGTTTGGGCTGGGAAGGTGGCTCAGTGGTAGAGTGCTTGCCTTGCATGCCTGAGGCCCTGGGTTCGATTCCCCAGCACCACATAAGCAAAAAGAAAAAA